TTTAATCTAATCATTCAATTTATTTGTCCAATTATGAACAATATTTTTCAGCAGCCTCAAACCATCTGATGCATTTTGGAGGAGGAGCCATTTGGTCCTATCATCTGGACCAACCAACTGGCCAGGCACACTATGAAAATCAAAAGAGCTGTGCCCAAATGCTAAAGGCGTATTCCTGTTTCGGTATCAACGTTGCGAGCAGATAATCCCAGACGGTAGCTTGTTCCTCAATTGATGGCGTTTCGCAAATCTGGGTAAGGTATGTATAAACAGAAATAATTAGGAGGTAAAATTATTAGGAGATTGTGGATTTATTGTTCTTTACATGAAAGGTTTTTTATTAGAAGATGAATGGTTATATTTATTAATTTGAATATTATAAACTATTGTATTATTTACACTACAAGAACAGCTGGTATCTTTATTTTCAGTTACTATTGGTACACGATATTGATAGTCTTCTTCATCATCATCATCATGGACGTATGGCTGTTGTTCGTAATCATCTGCAAAAAAATGATACACGATGCCATTATACAATTTTAGGTATATAATATATATATATATATATATATATATATATGTTTTTATTTGTTTGATATACTTAATGATCTTCTCTGGTATTTTTATGAACCGGCCTGGTGTTACCAATACACTTTTTGACGATACAATTTAAATTAAAAAATTAACTTTTCTAAGCTTTCTCTAATATACATATATAATATTTAAAGTTAATAAGTTTTATTTATACAAGTATTAATAATTTAAGAGTATTTTGATTATTGTGATGCGGTAGCACTGGCCTGGCTTTCACATGAATCGTTGCAGGTTGCTTTTGTCTATATATAGTGCAGTAAACGGAGAGGAAAAAAGGGTATAACCTGTGAATTTTTTTTACTGTGCTCTGATTTGAATGAAATTTTGGAATTAGGTTCAGCTTACCCTCAAGTTCAAAAGTGAAAACAATTACATTTTTCATTCTAGACATCACAAACAATTCATTTCATTATAGACATCTTGATGGATTCTAGCAGATTTACTACTTTAGTACAAACTATTTTCAGAAAACTCACGATTTTATAAAAACTTTTTTTTCAATTTTTTTTATAAATCGAAATTATTTTCATTATATCTCAAAAAGAATAAGAGATACGTATAAAAGCATATAGATAAAAATCAAAGGGATCTTTCTGGCTTATTATTATTTTTCATTATTTTTTTTTACATAAAAATTGACAGAGTTATGAATGTTTAAAGACTGCGCGGCCGAGCAAATTGGAAAAAAAAGTTTTTATAAAATCGTGAGTTTTCTGAAAATAGTTTGTACTAAAGTAGTGAATCCATCAAGATGTCTATAATGAAGTGAATTCTAGATGGAATGTGAATCACTTTAATTCTGGTGGAAACGGCGCTCATTAAACCACATGATTCAGAAGAAAAAACCATAGTATATGCTTCTTATTTGCATGATAGCTTACTCATTTTACACGCAAAAAACTTGTAACAGCACTCATTTTAAAGCTTATGTTGAGCACTATAAAACCCAATTTCACCGAAATGCATAAAATGTGAAACCTCGCTACTAGATGGCTTTAAATACAACAATTAAATCTTGAACGAAATAAAAAACGACTTTGCTCTTTCAACTCTTGCTTAATATTTTTCCTAGAATACTTTATGTAATACCGATTTATTAAGATTTTTATTGACATTATTTTGTTCATTACATGATTTTCGTTAAAATGTATATTTTAGGAGATATTTGCAAAAAAACGAAGCAAAACGCCAAAAATATATGAATTTTTAGTGGACAGTAACTTGAAAAGTATTAGTTTTTTTTTTGAAAAACTATAAAAGACATTTTTTTCTTATGATTAGTTCTTCTATCGATTTCCGATTTTATTTTGAAAAAATGTAATTACACAATTGAGAACGGGTGTCATCCCCCCGGGGGGTGATGGCGCAACCCGAATTGTTTTCACTTCTGAACTTGAGGGTAAGATAAACCTAATTCCAAAATTTCATGAAATTCGGAGCACAGTAAACAAACTTAGACCTAAAACGCTCCGTTTACTGCACTTATAATAGAATCTTACATACGTACGATTATTGGAAATTATTGCTTAAACTACAATGAACTTATCTATGGTGCCAATGTTATTTTAATAAGTTTTTATAAAGTATGATAATCCATAAACAATCAAATCCCTTACACCTTTATAGATATATTGGAGAGTTACCGTCTACGAGCATTTATATCTTTATCTATAAAATGATAAAACTTCAAAGTATCAAAATTTCTTATAGTTTTAACATTAGTTTGGAACGGTGAAAGTTAATATAAATGTTATCACATAGCATAACAAAGATAATGTCTATACGAGTATCTTACCCCAATCTTCGATCTCTGTATATTCATCTATTGTAGTGTACTCTTCATCTATGGGATCTCCGTACTCATCGACAACTTGTCCTGCAGGAAAAAGTTTTAGTTCTAATATTTCATTTATTTTTTAACTCATTATTTTGTAAATTATCTTTATTGCGGCTTTGTGATCTTTCAGATGGCAAGATTTTTATATTGTTGGGAATTTGAAAGGCTATTACCATAAATATTCGTTGATCTTCCAAATTCATCAAGAGTTTGTAACATCTCATCCTGGCTTTCGCTGGCGTATTGGGACATATCCTCTTCAGGCTCTGTGAATGTAGATGTAGATGTCATGGTGTTTTCTATATTAGTTCCGTCATCCTTGAAAGGTAATGAAATTTTGATAAAATCTCATATATAGAAGCTTAATTAACAATAGATATTTTATGGAATAACCAGAAAATAAGAATGACTAAAATATTGCACAAAAAATCAATTCTGTAGAATCTTTTCCATTAAGTTTATAACAATTTCAATAAATTGTCAACAAAACTTTGCATTTTTTTGTTAAAAATGCTGCTTGACTAGGTTAGGTTACAGCCAAGAGTTTTAATTAATATAAGCTTAATATTAATATAATATTTAGAAAAAAAAACACTGATATAAAAGTTCATATCTCTCTTAATGTCAGTCAATAAAATTTTCTCATTTATTCAAAATATTTTCAACAGCATTTACATATTTATGATAAATCTGAAAGCATTCATGGATCAGTAGCCGATGAGTAATGGATAAAAAAATTGATGTTATTAATGTAGTTAATTTAATTTTTAATTATTATTTAAAGTTTCTTGCCTCATAGGAGTAAGGTAACTCTTCTATATCCGCGTCCTCTATATCCATTCTTGAATGATCTGCAAATGTATGTATACATAATTATTTATATATATATATATATATATATATATATATATACATTTTATACTTGCTTTTTATTTGTATTTGCAAGTTTCACGAAGTCATTTTTATTAAGCAGTCTTTGCCAATTTTAGGCAAATCAAAAAAATTGACAACATCGACATGGTGTACATTAGTATAAGCATCATCTTGCATTATTAATTTGGATGCCAAAATTACATTATTATTTTTTGTTGTTATAAATTGTCAATATTGACAATTTATATTTCATGGAAACAAAAGTTATAAAGAATAATTATTTGAAGGTGAAAATTTATTTGACTAGATCAAATTTCATACTAAATACCTGATGGTATTTTATTTATTGCAATGGGTATTTTATTTTTTGTATTTATTTATTTCAAATTATGCAGTTAGTTTATTATTTTATTTAAAAAAATTCAGTTTGTTTATTTTTATGTGTTGTTATTATTAAGGGGCTGTTTTTAAAATTATTATTATTAAGATTATTTATATGAAAACGCTACATAACATAGCCTTTAACATCTATTTTACGTCAGAATCGGCTCATAAGTGTGAACTTTATTATTTATTTATTTTATTTTATTTTTGTTATTATTTGCTTTTATTTTATATTAAATCATCATACTACGGATATCATTTTAATGTAAATTCTATCCTTTGTACTCTTATTTATTTAAATTTATGTTATTATTTATCATTATTGCTAGATGTTATATTATTTAACAGTTGTAATAAATATTGTAATTGAAAAAAAAGAATGTGAATTATAAAGTAAGAAAAGCCTATTGAAAACATAAAATTTATATAAAAATATTTATTATAAATAATATATTACACAACTTTCACAATGCCCATACTTTTACAAATTCAACTTGCAACGATGCTCCATCCGGTTTCCATGTTGATTCCCAGGCCAAGATGTCTTGCCAAAAACTGAAAAAAAATGTTGAAATTGGCTTTTATTCTAATATTTTAATAAATTTGTCAAATACCTCAACATTGCTTTAGGTTCCAGATTCCTCCATGGTTTTGGTCTAGGAGGGCCAATATTGCCACCGGATACTGTGTTGTCGGGGAAATCTGTGACGCCTCCACATGCTAGGGCCATTCGGATCACCATCTGGAAGACGAAGTTGGTACATGATAACAAATAGTGACAAAGAAAAATGAAAGGCACCAAATTGTATGTATAGTATTTATAATATATCTATAGTTCTACCACAAATGGGCTCCTTAATCATTATAGGAGATTCCAGCGCTCACTTGTGACAAGCGACTTCTGTGATCACATAATTTTATTATGTGATATTACCTGTTTATCGAACGGCGCCATTTCATCGCCGTCCCACCTTCTAAAATTCGGCACACTGGTATCTTGCACAGACTTAAATCCGCCAGGAGGAGGAGAAATCACGGCAAAGTTTATGCCATCTACGCTAACTTGAAGATTACCTAAAAAAAAATAAGAAAATAATTTCCTTTCACATTTTTTATCATACAATTGTCGTATCAAGCACTCACTTGGAGTCCATACCACTTCATATGTATGGAAGGCGCTGGTCCAGTGACCGCCGTTCTGTTCCTGGTAAGTCCTGGTCGAGTGATTTCTCGGGGGTTTGAATTGACCCAAGAGCAGACCGGCGTTCATCTCTTTCGACCCGAAATCGTATCCGTTATTGGGGTTCATCAGCATGTCATTGCCGCGGGCGAATGCAATTCTGATCTTTCCGGAACGATACCCTGGACCGTACTCGTAGTCTAGGGGTTCAAGATTGAGCACTAAAAAAGATAGTGATAAAATAGAAACAATAAAATGTAATTTTGTGATATGCTGTTATGGTAAAGAATTCAGGCTCACAAGGGTATAACCAGTTTCCTTTTGGCAGTTTGGCTCTGATCTGTACCTTGCCATAGCGGAAGCTAAATTTAGATCTGACGCTGGCTGACACGACTGGCTGCAGGATGTTGAAAGTCATGGCCTTTCCATAGCACTCTCCCAGTTTTGTGCCACGGCAACCACAACTATTCGTGATAAGAAATGAATGAGAAATAAGTGAATTATTACTACATGAAAATAATACCAACATTTCCGTCATGTTCAATTCTCCAGTTTGGATGTAATCATTATCCTTTAGTATGGTCGGCCAAATCGACAGACGTCCATTATTTATTATCAAATTTTCAGGCCTGGCCTGATACGAAACGTACTCGTTATCCTGAAAATAAAGCAACAGGATTAAATATTCAGAAACATTTTAAATATTTTCTATCCTACCTCTTCGTAGCTGGGAATGTGGCAGTCCTGATGCCATTTCTGGTCGTCCAGTTTTTTTGTCACAAAATTATCCTCGAAGATTAGTTGACCTTTGCAGACGTTTGCGATGCCTTTTACAGTTGTCAGAGATGGTTCACAATTCTGGTTGTTGTTGTTGGTGTTAGTTGGATTGGTATCATAGTTTTGACTCCTGGATGATAAGTCTGAAACAAAGTTCAATATAAGTACTTATAGTAAAATGTATTAATCAATTATCTTGTCATCTACCTATTATAGTAACTTTCTCATCATCTCTCCTGTACCCCAGTCGTTCGTGCTGGACAAACATCCAGTAGTGAAGGACGTCTCCTGGACGCAAACGGGCGTTTTTATTCTCGAACGTCCAGCGCCCGTTCAGGGACCTCGTGACTTCGCCGGAGTACTCACCGGGGGTCAAGGGAGTCACCGGCTCGTTTACGCTCGCCTGGATGGCCATGAACTGGACACCCGGCTCATCTGGGGTAAAATATAGAAAATATTTGAATTGATAATAAATAATATATATATATATATATATATATATTTATATATAGACATATATATATATTATTTATTTATTTATTTATTATGTATATTTTAAGTCAGTTACGTGGTATAGATATTCTAAATCCGGCAGGACTGAAAGCCTCGACGAGCGGTTCTGGTATTTCATAACACGAAACACTTTTTACGAAAACAATAAATAACACAAACACTGAATATTTTTCTAACTTTAATAACATGCACATAATGATAACACTAGATCTGTTTCTTCTAATTTATAATTAAATATAATATATTAATATAATAATTATCAATTTGTTGTAATGAGAAGTTGAAATCTTAGACGTCAAAGATTCATTTTAAACTATTGAGAGGAAACTGTTTGTTATCTGAAGAATATCCGTAAAGCCGCTTTCACATTTATTTCATTTTATAATTTTATTTGTTTACATTGTGTGTGTGTCTATGTTTAAATATTGGTAGCGTAAAAAAACTACATTTACTATTGTATTAGTATATGTTGTCAATTAATGATAATGTTATAATAATTGTAATATATAACAATTCAAACTATTTTGTTCAACGTTAAAGCACATTCTTGAAAACTTTGCAACCAAATTAAAAGCCTAAATTAAAAAAATCAACGTTTTGGCTCGTTCAACAGTTCTAAAAAATGTACAACGATTTAAACAAACAAAAGCTTTTATTATAAGGTAATATATAATTATTGTTAAGGTTAATGGACCAAAAATCGGTTTCTGAACATTTTGGCATACTTCAGAAAAAATGGATGTGTGTGTGTGGAGACAATTTTTCGTCGACGAATTCGGGCGTATGGATGAACTGATTTGAAAAATTTAAAAAGCAATCGATTTCTATTGATAGAGAGAAAGAGAGCAGGTCGGAGATATGGAGCAAAATGTGCTAAAAAATTCAGTTTTTAAGAGAACGGATCAACCGATTTGAATCATTGAAAAAACATTCGATTTGTAATGTTGTGGAGAAGTGGTGTTTAAATTTTGGCAAAGGCAGATCCAGCCGTTTCGAAGATACAGAGCTAAATGTGCAAAAAATGGCAGTTTTTGAGAGAACTAAGCATCCGATTTGAATGATTTAAAAAAAATGTCTGCTTGTGTTGACGAAACGATATTTTTAATTCTTAAACTATTTTTTTCATTCTATCTGATTGAAAACATTTAATATTCCTCAAATATTTAATTAAGGTACGGGAAGTTCCAGCAATTTGTCTTAAGGCACGATGCCATACACCACGAGTTTATATCATTGTTTCTATTGTAAATGTGTATATTTCTATTTCTAAAGTGTGATATGGGATTTATATGAAGATGATGCATTCGTTTGACACTGCGTGACCCTGATACGAAACCCGTTTCGCTTCCAAGTATTTTGTTTAAATAAATAAATGGTAAAAAAAACAGTTTTATCGGAATTAATTAAGGAACTATTGAATTTGTCGTTTTGGAAATTATTTGGCAAAAGATTTTTAAACAGAATCGTATTAAATAAGTAATTTAAATTTCCTTAAATTTCATTTAACAATTAACAATTGTTTTATTCGTATCGGAATAGTCAAAACATTCAATTCAATAAATAAACATCGTACCCTTAAAATATGCGAAGCAATTGGTCGCCCTAGGGTTGACCCATGGTCATTACAATGGGCTGCAGGTTTGACCTGAGGTCAACCTACAGCCTGTCTATAATTTTAATTAAACTTATATTATTGTGGTTTATAATTATTTTAAATTATAATCATACTTAAAAGTGATTCATACATTGCTGTTTTTTATATTTTAAAAAACTTCTTTTATTTTGTTTTTGTTAAAGGCATGTTAAATTTTTAATAGTTTTTTCTTCATATCACTTACATTTTTTTATAATTAATTTTTAATTAACGCTTTACAATCATATTACTTTAAGCAATTTCAAAACATATATTTATAAATATTAATTTATAAATTATATGCAAATAATTTATCCATCGATAAATGGACTAATAATTAAATTAATGCTCTTATAATGTGTCATATAATCTATTAATCTTCAAATACATAGCTCATTAATAATATTATCTAAATAAAAATACAGATTATATTTTTTTTAATATATTGTTTATTTATATAAGATTTTCTGTTTGAAGGTTGAATTTTTTCACATATGAATCACGGAAGCGCCATAAGGATTGTAATTCCATTTTTTCAATTGAAATTATATAAAATTTCTATTCACAATTGCTGAAGGTGTTGATGATGTATAGAGTCAAAAACTTTGTTGTGAAACAAGATCCTGATTTACAAAATTCACAGGTATGATGTGATATAAACTTAGACACAAACTAATTTTATTTTACATAGAAGACAAAATTTAATATGCAAATCATTTCAAATGTAATAAATTCTAATTCTTAATTCTCAATCTTAAAGTCTTAATCTTCAGTCTTAAAGATTGTTTACTATGCTATAATCCAATCGAAGATGGTTTACTACACTTGGTCTTTAATTTGTTCTTAAACAAAAACGTTTTGGTATATATTTATAATAATTGTAGATTATAAACTTTAGTATACAAAATATACATATTACTTTACTTATGCACTTACAAAATATATAATCTATGCATGCGTGTATTGTATATATTATTATCCTTTAATTTGTTTAAGAAATTCAATATATTTTTGATTTCTATTTGAGTAATATTTACATATACATAATAATTTAGTTTTTTATTTATTTCATTATATCTAAATCACTCAGTTTATATGAAAAAACATAATACAAAGACTTTTATTTTATAAAGTATTACAAATCGCTGGCAAAATTTTTGTAGGTAAAATGGAACTATTAGTTATTAATTGCCCCATACTCTAATTAATGAAATAAATCATTATTGATTTTTGTTATACTTATCTTATATTGAAGCTTTTAATATGAGAATCATCATATAATTTATTATTTCACACTAGATTTCTTAATTCCAATATATTGAGAAAATGTGGTTCTATTCATATCCACAAAAAAAGTATTTATTAACATAATTAAAAAATACAGAAAAAGTATGAGTAGTTGCACAAGTGTTTTGAATAGGCTTTGTCTAATAATTTTCAAAACTAATAATGTCCTATTTACATTTAAATCATTATTTACACTGGTCCTAACTTTATCTCGACTATATATGATTTTTTCTGATGAGATTTGCATTTTGAAATGGTTTTGCATAATGTGTGAATGTAAACTTGTAGAATTTGGAAATTCCTGGAATGTTAAACAAATATTAATTTATTTAGTTTAAGATTAAAGGCTTTAATTCTACACTCAATAAGATATTTGTTTTAGTATACATGGCAATGTTGAAATTCTGTTATAAGCATGTTACAGATGCTGTGGCTAAATATCGGCAGAATAAAGTTAGCTATAAAGGAAAAGCGGAACAATATTATTTCAAGACATATATTTCTCATATACATTTTATATATTATTTTTTCAATTACCGTTGAACACTCAGGACATATTCTATCATCATGGTTTGACAAATGAATTTGAAATTGTTTTTTTCTCTTAAAATTAGAAGAACATATAATACATCTGATGAATGAATATTGTTTAGTTGATATCTGTGTATTCGGTGTATTTACAGACATCGGATTTTCATTAGTTTGGTCATTCAATGTATTTATGCCATTATTCAGCATTGTTATATTGTCCCTTTTATCATATTTCATATCAGAACTGTCGACATTAAATTTGTGCTCATGTAAATATAAATTCTCAACATAATTGATATCATTATGCTCAAGTCTTATGAACTTGTCTGGGTGCTTAATGTGATTCGGTATTAGTATTTCTTCCAATTGATTTAAGGAATACTTTTTTTGTAGTAACTTCATGAAAACAATTCTGATATTTGCAATTTGAGCAAGCAATTGATCATAATCATTCAAAATGTTTTCACACTTTATGCAGATAAGGTCTTCTGAAGAAAAACAGATGTTGAATGCGTCTCCTATAATATCACAAATTTTGGAGTATAGTATTTCATTTGAATATTTTGTTTTGCCCAATAAAACGTTTTTGCGAGCTTTTGTTGGAACATCACAGATGAAACAATTAACTTTACTTTCAGTTTCCATTGTTGGAAATATGTTGTGTCAAATTACTGAGTTTCCACATAAGTTATTTTTGTTTATGCAGAAACTTTTTTGGTTAAGATTTCCAGATGTATTTTACTTATATTGGGCAATAAATAGTGAAGATGATTTTATAACTATTTTAAAGTTTATTTAACATATCTCATAATTACTTTTTAATATGAAAAGCATAATGATTTATCATTAAACATCTCATTACTCAAAGTGACAGCTACCATAAATATACTTAAGTATATTGCTAGTTGCAACTTGCAAGCAACAAAACGTCGGAATTTCAGTATTAATACAATAAATAAAATATAAATATATAAAAAATAATTATAAATTTATATTATTTATCTTAAAAGGTTTTTTTATAGAATTATGGAAATGAAGAAGGAAGAAAGGTCATTTAGCCATTATAGTGAGGCAGGATTACTGCTCAAACAAACATTCTACAAAAAAAATGTAATATATTAATTTAAAAGAATGCCTTAAAAAAAAAACATAATTATGAGGTGAGATTAAGGACTAAATGGCATGCTTAATTTTCATTGACATGAGTTTTTAACACAAAGAGGTATGTGGCGAATAAAAATTCTAGAGTTAGTCAGTGTTTAAATGTTAATATCCAGCACTTGCATATAAATTCATTATTGAATTCTTGTGTCTTTATTTATAAACCTTTCATGTTTATTACAGTTCCTGATATTTTATAGATACGTACTTAATTTTGTCCAGATGGAGTCTGGATTCGTCCAGACTCTGAAATGACTATTTAAATCGACACAAACTTCTCAACTAGATTGTCAATAGCAATTTCTGAGAATTGTTCAGCTTGTTGCAATATAACACTCTTTGGCTTATAAATGTTTTTGACTGCTTTGATGCATTTTATAAAGTCGATAATAAGCTGCTCGTTTTTGAAACAATTATTTACAATTTATTTTATTTATTTACGATATACATTTCTCTGTGTGGATGTTGTAACAATTGGTGGCTGTGAAGATTACTTTTTATAAACAAAACAACATAGCTATGTCATATGATAAACCTAGTTATCTAGGTAATATATATAGATCACATTTTGGTTTTGGACAACAAGCCAAACTACAACCTGAAATTAAGACGAAAATTGCTATGTCGAACTATGATAATACACTCACAATCATTGATAATACTATAATATTATCGTACGTCGTACTACGACTTGCTACGTCGTGCTATGATAGTACACTAACATTCATTGACTATACTACATCGTACTGTGTAAGTACACTCACGTTCATTGCCAATACTACATCGTACTATGATAGTACAATCACGTTCATTGATAATAGTACATCGTACTACGACTTACTACGTCGTACTATGATAGTACATTCACGCTTATTGATAATACTTCATCGTTCTACGATTTACTACGTCGTACTATGATAGTACACTCACGTTCATTGATAATACTACGTCGTACTACGATTACTACGTCGTACTACGATAGTACACTCGCGTTCATTGATAAAAACTACATCGTACTACGATTTACTACGTCGTACTATGATAGTACACTCACGTTCATTGCTAATACTACATCGTACTACGATCACACTCGCGTTCATTGATAAAAACTACATCGTACTACGACTTACTACGACGTACTATGATAGTACACTCACGTTCATCGATAATACTACATCGTACTACGATTACTACGTCGTACTACGATAGTACACTCGCGTTCATTGATAAAAACTACATCGTACTACGATTTACTACGTCGTACTATGATAGTACACTCACGTTCATTGCTAATACTACATCGTACTACGATCACACTCGCGTTCATTGATAAAAACTACATCGTACTACGACTTACTACGACGTACTATGACAGTACACTCACGTTCATTGATAATAGTACATCGTACTACGACTTACTACGTCGTACTATGATAGTACACTCACGTTCATTGATAATACGACATAGTACTACGACCTACTACGTCTTATATAATAAAAGTAGGATTTATTTATTTTCAATTACTTACATCTTGAATGTATATTTTTTGGTTCCAGAAAATTGTTAGTTCATTCATAATTAAACATAATTAATAATAAATGCCCACCCATGAATTTTGATTTTGATCAAAAAAAATTCTAGTGAGGTGTATGGCATTGTGCCTTAAGGCAAATTGCTGGAACTTCCCGTACCGTAACGGAATGTTTGAGGAATACTGAATGTTTTCAAATAGATTATTATTAATATTGTAACATTGTCTAATATTTATAAGAATTATATAAACTGAATTGCAAAGTGGAAAATTATTTGTTTAAAGTATATTAGAACTATAGTCAGAATTAAAAATAAAATCTGAATTATTTTCGATATACAAAAAAAAAATGTTTTGAAAAAAAAAAGTTGAAACAAAAATTTGTTTTTCCAAAATCAATTATTTATTAAGACAAGCAGAAAGTTCTTTGAATCCCAATCATTACTAATTGATTGTTCTTTAGATCATTCAATTCTGATGCTCCGTTCTCTCAAAAGCTCGATTTCTATTTTTTGCACTCTTGTTCTTTATCTCCGTAACTGCTGGACCGGCCTTTGCCAAAAACTAATCAGCTCATCTCCCTCTCAATAGGAATCGAATGTTTTTTGAACCATTCAAATCGGTTGATCTGTGCGCCTGAAAATGTGACTGGAAATTTGTATCCATACATACATATACAAACACACATCCATTTTTTCTGAGGTATGCCAAAATGTTCAGAAACCTTTAAAACGTCGAGAAATGTAAAAAAATTTAATTTCGATTTTCGGTCCATTACAATAACTTACCCTACGGGAAGTTAAAAAACGAGCCCACCCACCAAAAAATTGGTTCCGACGCCACTGAATGTAAGTAATGTTTTTTTTTTCTTTTACATTATAAGTGCAACTTATAATTAAATTCTAATTAACTTAAATGATAAAATCAAAATAAATTGTATTTCATCTAGAATTAACTTTAATTTAAAGATATGGGTAAAATTTGAATTTTAATTGTAATTTGGATTGCAATTAAAATAATTTTAAACACATTTTACTCAATTTGTATATAATAAATATCAAATTAAAACCATAGATTATTTACATAATTTATAATGAAACTTTTCTCCAAGTTTGAAAGTGCATTCAAATATCGCGCCATCCCTCTGAAACATGACGCTTGCAGTGCCTCTATGCAAAATCGTTCCCAGTTTGTTGGGAACTACGTAGTGAGTACCGGGTTTATAGGGTTCTATGTTAGATGCCGCCACCGACGTCTAACGTTTGACAGTTCTTAAACGACAACTGAATATAAAATAATTTAAATATCCATGCATAGATACTCATGGATTTATTTTATATTTTAATTTCACTTAGCGAACTCCTGAAGTTAGATAAATAAATGTATATATTAATTTTTTCATCATTATGCATGGCCTAGTATACTTGGTTTGTATGGAAATTGGATATACAAATGTATATATCGTTTTATACATGATTATTTATGGCCTAGTGTTTGTTGTTTGTCTGGACATTGGATATATAAATGTATATATTGATTTATTCATGATTATATATGGCATAGAGTACTTGGTTTGTATGGAAATTTGATATATAAATGTATATATTGATTTATACATGATTATACATGGTCTAGTGTTTGTAGTTTGTATGGAAATTATAATACATGATTATATAGGACCTAGGGTGCATTCGACTTGGACGCTTACGCGCTGTGAGCGCGCCGTGAGCGCGCTTTCATCGTTCGACTTGGCGCTGTGAGTGTGGCATAAGTACGCTCGTAGCACCATCGTAGGATGCTCGTAGCACATATTTTGCGCTCACATACGCTCACGCCACAGAGGTAGGGCAGCGTGAGCGTGAGCGTCAGTTGTTTTTACTATCTGTCATTTCATTTGTTTATTAATTGTCAAATTCATTATAATTCCGCAAAAATGGCAAGCTGTAGATCACAATTATTTCTTAATATTAATATTGATATTAATTAATTTTCAATTTAATTAATTTTAAATTTCAATTTTAATATTACTATTAATTAAGCATAAGCTAACCAAATTTCATTTATTTATTAATTGTTAAATTCTTTATAATCCCGCAAAAATACCAAGTTGTATATCACATTTATTTTTTATATTATTTATTTTATTTTATTCATATTATTTATTTATTTTAAATTCAATTAATTTTAAATAATTTTAAATTTTAGTTTTAATATTACTATTAATTAAGCATAAGCTATCCAAATTTCATTTATTCATTAATTGTTAAATTTTTTATAATCCCGCAAAAATGCCAAGTTGTATATCACAATTATTTTTTAATATTAATATTAATATTAATTAATTTTAAATTTAATTAATTTTAAATAATTTTAAATTTTAATTTTAATATTAATATTAATTAAGCATAAGCAAACCAAATTTCATTTATTTATTAATTGTTAAATTGTTTATAATCCCGCTGAATGATCCAGAAAGTAATAAAATTTACCCAATTACCGTTACCGCCAGTTGCCGCCATTTTGATGCTTATTGACGCTCACTGTATCCAAAACGAACGGAATTTAGTTATCGATTCTGAGCGCTTATCGGCCAAGTCGAACGCTAAAAATTCGTGCTTACAAGCGTGAGCGCTCACAGCGCGTAAGCGTCCAAGTCGAATGCACCCCTAGTGTTTGTGATTTGTATAAAATTTGCATATATAGGATTTGGTTATATGAATGTATATATGGATTTATATATGATTATATGTGGCCTAGTGTTTGTTGTTTGTATGAAAATTGGATTAATTCAATATTATTAAAAAAGCAAAGCGCATACGCTTTTCTATCTATTCAAACAAGTCAAAAAATTAAACGGCAAAAACTTTGTTAAAAATATATCTTTGAAAATTTTAGAAAAATTAAACGGCAAAATCTTTGTTAAATACCATGGATAATGGTATTGACAATTTTAGTCCGGAATGCCAAAGCAAAGTAGAAGAATTGTTTGTTGCGTACTACAATTATAATTATAAATGCAAACTAAAGAAGGCATAGAAGGTGTTTGCTGCATTTGCATCTAATAAATCAACATTTAGTTTTATTAGTAAATGACTATATAATCTTATGTTGAATGTATATTTTTACAATATTTTTTTTTATTTTCATTACAG